TATGTCACATACTCATTATAAATTTTTTAATTACATATACAATCGCACCCTCGATATTAAAATCTCTCGTCCGTCCCTATTTATTCAGACTTCATTTGGAAAGTAAGTTGACTTTTTGACTTTTTGACTGGCCTCATTTGAGAATATGTTATTTTAATAAATTTTTAACTTTTTACGAAAAGATTTACAAAAAAATAAAGAGAGTGATGTGACAACTTGTAGTGATTTTTTGACTAAAATACGTACTCCCCAAATCTCGTTAGACTTTTTGATTTTTTTAACTTTTACCAAAGAAAAAATAAAATAATTATGATTTAGATATGATATTTTATCTTATTAATTTTTTAATTTATTTTATCGTTTTATAACTATTTTAGTTTAGTAGTCCCATTAAAATAATTAAATCGTTTTATAACTATTTTAATTTAAGAAAATGTCTCGTAGCTCAAATTTGGTGCTCAAAAGTGGTTCAAATGGCCAAAACGACGTCGTTTTGGCCATTTTTATGTTGTTCTGTACTCAAAACGACGTCGTTTTGGCCATTTGAGCCACTTTTGAGTCACAAAATTTGAGTTACGGAGCATTGCCGTTTAATTTAATAGTCCCATTGCAAACGAGGGCTCATTTAAAGATTGTCCTTGCCATTTTGTATATTTGTAAATCAACTATTAATAAAAATTACTTATTCATGTATTAATTATTGAACAAAAATAATTATTCTAACATCAAGTACCAATTATATTTTTATTCTATAATTGAAATCTAAATTGCTAATTTAGTTTAATAATTGATATATGTATTTATTTACGTCACATCATATCTCTATTTTTTTTTTATTTTTTTATAAAAATAAGAAAAAATACACTAAATAAGCAAATCGTAAGCAGCCCCTTAAATAAAAAATAATGTAAATTGAGATTTTTTATAATATACAGATAGAAATTATTGTCGAATAATGGATAATGTAAAATTAAATTAAAATAAGTGTATGTATAGCAAATGGTAGGGAGGTCACCGTGACAGAAAGGCGTATATTCTTGGGTATAATCCAACACAAGATTTCTTATCGTACAAAGCACATTATAAAACCTTATCACCATCTTATCCGATGAATTTTCGGTTATGGGTCCCACTCAAAATAAACAAAGATCAGGATGATTGTGAGCTGGGCTTAATATTTGACGGCTGAGATTTTCTAGGTGGAGAGCACCGTACGGTAGCATGTATCCAATCCTGTCTACCCCTCTATAGTTGGATGGACGGTGGAAAATCGTGTTGGGCCCACGTGATTGTACAGGTGGAGATCATTCCACATGTCGTTCTTCACCTTCTTACTTGTTTGACCCATTAAAGAATATTTTAAACGTGTCCTCCAATTTAACGTAAGTTTCAGAATTTTCTTTATATCAAAAAATAAATAAATATTTAAATACAGGGCTTATTTGAGATGTACTATTTTAGTATATTATTTTATCTTATTTAAGTTATATCACTTTTAATTATATTTCACATTTATATAAAGTCAAAAAAATATATTTATTTAAATCATTATAAACAATCCCACAATACTAAAAAATCACTACTAACCCATACAGGAAATCTAATAAAAAAAAATCAAAGGTACGATTTGATTTAGCTTTTAAATTAATATTTAGATCAAAAAATCAAAAAATAAGTTTGATTTATCATTTTTTTTTTTAAATTCAGTCTCCTCTTTTCTTCCCTTTTTATTATTATTTATTTTATTAATAAATTAATCAATTACTTTTTTTCTCTTCTCTCTCATTTATACATTAATCAATCAAATTTTTTGTCACACTATCTTTTAAAATACAACTTAAAACTCAATTTTTTTTTTCAAAAACTAAACCAAAATGAACCAAAATGATTTTTCATAATGATTTTACAATGAGACTGCTTGATGCATCTTAAATATTCTTAAAAACTTGTGTTAAATTATTTAATTTACCTTCTACTTATAACTTAAAGTTGACTTATGTGTACTTCTTAATAGATTAATTTATTATCTAATAGGTCCTATGATAATTAATGATATTTTTTTACAAAATATTATTTAAAAACGTCACTAATTGTTAATTTTCAGCGACAATTTAAAAATTTTATCATAAAAAATGTCACTAATTATAAGTTTTAGCGAAAGTTTTAAAAAATCGTTACCAATTTTCAACATTTAACGACATTTTAAAAAATTTGTCACAGAAAATCATCACTAATTATAATTTTTAACGATAATTTATAAAAATTGTGATAAAAAAAATCTACATTTTATACATCTTTTCATAAAAAGTCAAAAATCATCTCAAGTATATTAATTTTTTTTACTTCATATTTTAATTAAAAAATCAAAAAATTACTAAAATAGTATGTTTCAATTTAAATAATTAAACTCTCCTATCTTAAAAATAATAATAATTAAAATCGAAAGTTTTATGTGGTTCATGTCAACCTTAGGTTTGAGAATTTGCTGCGAGTGATGCAAGATTTCCAAGAAATGCAGGCATCAAAACACAGCCACATATCCTGTATCAAGGTTCCAATCACCAAAGCTGTGTTTGGATCTAAATTTTTTTTAAAAAAGTTCATAGATATAAACTAATAAATGAAATATGAGCTAAATTTTTATAACTTTTCCCTCATCGAGCAATCAGGCTCTGACAGTAGTATAGGAAATATGTTTTTTTTATCAAAATTAAACCACAAAATACAAATATAAAAATAAATTAAGTGCAGAGCAGAAGTACCAAATATTCAGCTTTTTCAAGGCATGATGCCTTCAAACTCAAACCTATGAACCATATGTAAGCCTGAACCTCTCTCCCAGGTAGTCTCCACTGCGGACTGGTGGAAATCTGCATGACATCATGACCTATCAATCTTAACTCCCTTAATGAACAAAACATACCCATTTGAAAGATAATAATAATTATAAAAACAAAATAATATAAAATATTTTTTAAGAACAAACATAACTTGCTTTAGAAATTAATGAATGCAAAACAAATGTGAGTACTGAGGACAGACATAGTTTATCAGATGATTTATCTATCGGTGAGATATCAGAAGTGCATATAATATTTGTCCTCTGCAAGTCAAATATAGCCTATGGGATTCAAATGCCCAAACACATATCTCGCACTAGGACTTTACAATATGCCACAAAATCATTTGGACAGACCGTCTAAGCATTCTCAAAATTGTTCAACACTGAAGTGTTTGATACCATTGACAATCCATTTGTGACACAAGCATTACAGAAATAGGCATGAAATCTCATTTGATCCACTATTACAGGATGCTAGCAAAAGGCAATACCAAAACCACTAACTTCTAATTTCAAGCATAGCGAGCAGTGACGTATAATAACAGAAGTTAGGCCAAGGGGATGTCCATACCTAGGAGGAGTCAACTCACTGCAGCAACTCTCCAAGCATTCCACCACACAGTCTGCGCTGGGATTTAGGAAAAAAGCCATCTGAGGAATTGCAATTAAGCAACGGTCAGCAGTGAAACTTCCGATTTTCTTCTTCTTCACCAGCTTATTTATCAGAGTAACCTATCCTCTAGTCTATCCAATTATAAAGCCTTATTTTGTTTTTTTCCTTACAGATTGATCTACTCAGTCTACCCTTTAGTTTTACCTAGCTGATTAAGAACACATAATTTTGGTACTACATCATAAACATGAACCTCTTCCTTGACCAAATGAAAAGAGGAAAAAGTAGAGCATAATGGCAAAAATTGGACAAGAAAGTAAATTGTGGACAAAATATTTAGTACCGAATAGCGTTCTCGTCCTGTTGACATCACTCTGTGCAACGTGGACCTACAAAAGAATTTAAACATTGAAATAAGGAGAGAGAGAGAGAGAGAGAGTATTTGTGTACTTGAAAGAACAAATGGAAAAAAAACAAAAACAAAACATTTCATCCTAAATAGATGAATGAATTCTCTGAGAAAAAAGATGAAATGAGATGTTTAAGTTACTAGAAATGGAACATTACCGAAACAAACAATTAGTCCACCTCTCCGTCATGTCCCCGATGTTAACAATAAGGGCCCTGCAGATTTAATTTGCCCCACAAAACTTCAAATTCTGAGCTAAAACATACACAATGGGAAGAACAAGAAATAAATTCTCTGGTTAACCATAATTGTAGTTGTGTAGAACTCTACAATCTCCATTGTGAATGTAAATGAAAAACTCAAGCTTCAGCCTTTTTAGATATCAGACATTTTTCTTCATATCTATTGCTTAGATATAATAATAGATCAATTTTATACAAATTGTAGTGTAAAGAAAAGAAAAATTCCAAGTTGGAAAAGGCATTCCCTACAGCAGGAGACCCGAGCACTTGAAGCCCACAAACGTGCCTCTTAAGCAACAAATGTATTTAAGGCCTTGAAGTTTGGGAATGGTAAAAGATATTCAAAGTTGGAGTGAAGAAAACATAAATTTTCAGGTCATAATTAACAAAATAGAAATTTGTTGGATACATAGATACAGACCAAATGACTATTTCATTGAGTTAATTTTGTTAAATCATGAACTCACCCATTGATATGATCCACATCTTCCCAAACCAGTGGTTGCTTAGATTTGTCCCTGCAAACCTGTTAACACATAAAAGCTAGCTAACTAAAATGATGGAAGATATTATATTCAATGAATTTACAGCTGAAGATCACAATTAATATCGACCAAACATGCCTGAAGTCCACCAACACCATCTGTTGCTAGTAGGGTTATCATTCCATAGTCTGAATGAGCAGAAGCACCAAAAATTTCTTCATCAGAAAGCCCCAATTCACCTGAAATCAAAATAGAGAGGCAAAAGAGCTTTGGTTAAATAGCCATTCTTTTTAGTTCCTACAAATCAATAATCATTTCCTTAAAAACAGCTTCAATCCAATCCACAACTGTCAAATTAAAGCATAATGTTTCAGATAAAGTGCACGCAGAGACATTGAGAAAATAGTATTTTTTATCTAGTCAATTTCCAATTACATTTTCATATGCATCCTTAATTTTCTGGATTTCATCCTGCTATCACAAAGTGTTGCAATTTTACTGACAGTAAGACATACAAACAAAATGCTAAGCTCTTTTTATAAACCACACATCATACAGATTCCTGAATCCGTCCATGTATGAACCCAGATAATGAAAAGAAAGACTATACGGACAAAGCAGATAAAGCCAAATTTTGATTCAACCAGGATAGTGTAGAAGACGAAGAAATGGCATTGGTGGATTGAAAGCCCCAACTTTCTCAAAGAAGTCTTCATCCAAGTTTAAAGCCAGAGCAATTAAAGAGATCAACTTTTTTCCAGCAGTCCTGAGGCAGCAAAAATCAACACCAGCCAAAAGTCACACACAGCCTTGTTCTTATCAACATAAGGAATTATGAGCTATTTGATCAATCAAAACTGCTGCACCACTTTTTACTGAGGCATCTTTATAGAAAAGTCATCTAAACTATTCCAAGCATTAAGTATCACATCTCAGGCCCTAAAAATTAGTTAAAAAGACAGAAGTTATTCAAAATCATGTAAATGCTTAAGAAAGTCATAGAATTAACATGAGCAAAACTTCTGATTATGTATGAAGAAATTAACGTTGATTGAAGGAAATGAACTTACTAGGCAGGCACAGTTTAAGTGAATAGATCTACTATGATTTCTGATCACTTTCTACTCTCTTTTCAGAGTGTGACACAGGAATAAACAATGGGGAAAACTTACAGGACTCTTTCATAGTAAGATTCAATAGTAGGTCTCCAAGATGGAAAAACTTCTGGAATTTCCTAGCCAGACAACACCAGAAATAATGTTTTCACCTTAGGAATCATGTACCCATTGTACAAAATGTATGCTAAATGACAGATCACAAAATGCAGGAGAAATGAAATTGTTATATGAGGACACATTAAGAGAACATAAACAAATGACAGCACACGAAATTATTAAAATACCTTCTGAAGGCCATTGATTCAGATTACTATGACTTGAAATGCTTTCCAGGGGACCAATATAGAAACTTTCTTTTGAGTCACCTGTACTCCAATCAGTAGAAGACAGTCAACCCTAAGTTCTTTTCTCTATTACACCAATGAAATATGCATTAATGAGAAAAGAACCTATTAGAGTTTCTCCATCTAATATCAATCATACCATCAATCAATGAGTTTCAACCTTGGCTTTAAATTCATGAATTGGAAAAAAGTTATCTTTAGGACCACATCCTGTTTAGACTGAATCACAAAATCTTTGTAAAATCATTGTCAAACTTACTACTATTTGTCAATTTATGCTTCCACCAAAATTTGAGAGCATTCATTCAAATTTTCAGCATATTCAATCTCGATACTAAACTGATACACTTTTCTGAATTTTTTTTTTAATCTGAAAATTTCAGCTTACATCGGCACATTTCCCACTTTATATACAATTTGAAAGCATCACAAAATTTGTCAAAAGTGAGAGAATAGTAAAACCTTTAGAACTTGAAGAAGGGTTGAGATTCTCGGCATACAGTGGCGTATAACCTCTATTTTCTCTGTGAAGCAATTTCATCTTCTCTTCAAGGGGGAGTGAGAAGAATCTTTTGCTCTCATCAAACACTTGCTTAAGCAACTCCTGCTCTACCCCATGGTTTATGAGGTAAAAGAAACCACATTCTATGCATGCCTACACCACACATCCGAATACTAATGAATTTGGGAACAACATGATGAATCATTCTAAAAAACAAACCAAATTAATATTATCATTACTGGCCCATTTCTAACAGTTTATAAGCTTTCCAGTTAATTGGCTTACCTTAACAATTAACAACCATATGCTTATCAGAAAGAATTCTTTAGGCTGTGTTTGTGGAGAAAAAATAAAAAAGGAAAGAAAATGTGGAGGGGAAAAAAAAATTAAAAAAAAAAGCTTAATTCAAATTTCCTTTCCCTTTTCTTTTGCCCATGTTACAAAATAAGGAGTTGTTTGGATAACCAAAGAAATTTAATAGTATCACTGCACCATTCATAGCTTTTAACATCATAAAGTAGCATTGCATAATTAATGAGTTTATCTATTCTATTATATAATGGTAGCACCCAAGTTGGTGTGAACACTGTCACCCATTTTACCATTCCCAAACTGTCCTTATGCAATTACCTCAGTATGTAACTAGTTGATTTTCAACGCACACCGTCTAGTTAAGCAAATGACTTCCCAAATGACACTATATCACTTGTCCACTATAACACTGCTGCTTTTCTAAGCTGAAATATAACTAAGTATGTAAACATTCAAGTCCAATGGGATGTCCAAACACGCCCTAAATGCACAAACATGTAACTTGATTTTAATTTCTGGGTACTTTTGTCTTGATTTGCATATATAATATACCAAATTTGAAAAAAAATTAAATTAAATTAATTAAAAACAAAAACACACACCTGATGAAGATAAACGTAATTCTTGAAAATATTCTATTGATGATAAAATAAAGCTGATATATAAGGCAAATATGCAAATACAGATTTGTATATATATATATATATGCAGTGATAAGGTGTGAAGAAGAAGAAGAAGAATAAGAGACCTGACGGATGGAATTGGCGGTGGAGATTCGATCAGGAGAAGCGAGGTCTATGATGGGAAGTTGTAGAGCTTTCGCCATTTCTTCCCCTGCAAATTTGTATTCAAATTGAATTTGATACAGTCTGTCTTAGACCATCCTACAACATGTATTGTTGTTTTCCAATGAAATAAGTCAAGTTGCCAATCTTGACATTATACCCATATACCCATAATGGACAATGATGGCTCATGATCAAAAGAGCCGAAAACAATCCAAAACCAATGCACTGTATTACATATTATATTAACCGAAAGTTGCACTACATTTAGGCACTATATTATAGTACTAACAGTAGGCACTATATTATATTAATAAGGCCAAGTTTGGCAACATCAAAAATAATTTATCTTTTTATCTTTTTTTCATCACATCACCTCTCTACTTTTCTGCACATCTTTTCGTAAAAAGACAAAAAGTACACTTATTTAGGTCATCCCAAATAACCCATAACATTTACCAATGAAATAAGTCAAGTTGCCAATAATGACATTACACCATAACTCATAACATTTACCAATGAAATAAGTCAAGTTGCCAATCATGACATTACACCCATATCAAATTTGTTTTCCAATGAAATAAGTCAAGTTGCCAATCTTGACATTATACCCATATCAAATCGAAGATTATTTTTGACTTTTCATCAAATTGAAATATATCCAACAAATTGAGGATATGGTTCTAGTTTATTTATATAAAACCAGTCGATTGGCCGGACATCCATTTGGTCGATAATTTGATAAAAAAATATATAAATTTCATTGGAACGTTTAGGTGTAATTTGGTAATACTAAGTATTAGATGAAGTTTTTATTCAAATTTTTACTTAAATTTGATAAAATAAAATAAAATAAAATAAAAAAGAATATGAGTTGGAGATGTTTTTAGAGGAAACACTTATGGAGCTTTTAATTAAAAATAAAAATATGGCATAATTTTAATTTTTTAAAATTATAAGTTAAAAAAATGTCATAACTTAAAATAATTAAAAAATTCATCGATTATAACTAAAATAATGTCATTACAAAAAAAAAAAAATTTAAAACTTAAATTTTTTTAAAAAAAAATATAATTAAAGGACATAGAAGTGTGTATATTAAAATTTTCCTTCTTAGAAACCCAGCCAGCTCATATATTGACTTCGTAGGACTAGACCAGAGCTTTCTCAAAATTCATTTTTGAGTTAATTACAATTTTTCCCAAAATAATTTGATACAAATTTCATTTTATTTGTATAGTATTACTAAAATGGTTGTCAATTTTGTAAGGTATATACATACATAAAATTAATAAAAATTTAGACAAAATAATCAAATTGAAATTGAATTTTGAGTGTAAGAACCAAATTATTTGATTTAAAACCATAGGAACTAAAATTAAAATTGAGTCTATATAGAGTTGAAATTGACTCAACTTTTTGATTGCCTTCAAGTAAATTCAAATATTTTTCAAGACCTCAACGCAATAATACAATATTACTATTCTATTAGGCTATAATAATTTTTGAATTATGAATGAGAATAATATATGAATATGTAATTTATTTTGAGTGTTGCTAATAAAATTTCATTTCAACACAAGGAAAAAATAAAAATAATAATAATAAGGATAGATTATTTCATTATTTTTTGAAATTTTTTAAATCTTTTTATTTTATTTTCTATTTCCAACCTACTTTTTATTCCAATCTTGAATTAATCATCGGCTCAAGTCGCTTGTTAATATTTGTTTTCATTTTTGTATAAATATTCTATAATTTGTTGGAGAAATTTACCTTTTAGATAATGATGGGGGCAATTTAAAAGAAGGAAAATTTAGCTATAAACCCTCTTTACCTTCCTTTCATTGTTAAAAGGATTAAGAAAAAAATTTTATTTTCTAAACCCCCTCATAATTATAAAATTTTGCATAAAAGACAAAATTTATTATTTAAATATTTTATTAGACTATTATACCCTCAACTAAATTTTCTCACCTTCTCCACCCACTCTCTCCTCACCTTCTCTGCTCTTTTACGAGCTCTCTGTTATGATTCTCAACATTCTTCGATCTCCTCCTACGCCGATTCAGTTTTTCCGATCACTCTCCAGCGGTTCATACGCCGCCGCCGGTGTCTTCTTCAAGGCGGTGGAACATGATCGAAGTCTCAACCAAGCAAACGCACAAACAAATTCTCTTTTTTCCTTCTCTCTTCCATTCCTAGGGTTTGGATTGGATTCGTTCGAAGCTCTCGTGATTTCAACCAAAACTGTGAATATACCTAAATCACTCTCAGTTGCAGAGAATTTTCTTTGAATGGCGCATAAGTTTCGCAGTGGAAGAGATCGTCGGAGATGATCGGAGAAGGCTTCGACGATGTCGACGTATCGCCTTCCAATTCTCATGAAGTTCATGTTCTTGCCGTTGATGATAGTCTTGTCGATCAAAAATTCGAATTATGAAAGAGTATAGAGACGGATCGCGCGACTGTTCAAAATTTTCATATTTGAACACAGTTCTTCAGATTTTTCATATATATATGTGTGTGTTTGTGTGTGTGTGTGTGTGTGTGAGGGAGAGATTTTTCATTTGGATAGTGTTGTTAAGTTCTTAAATTGATCTATTGATGAGTTGTTACTATGTTCTCTCAACTTTTTGTTGTAAAATTGTTTTTAATTTTGATAAATTTTTGTGTCATGAGTGAGCAATATGGATTGTGTATATGTAATAGATAACAGAGAAAACAAAGAGGTGATACGAAAGAGGCAAGTAACTGTGAAGAAACATAAGAACAGTGGTTGTGAATGATCTAATTTCATTTGATAGAACCAGAGTAAAATTTTACTCTGGTTTTATTGCTCTGTTTTTTTCATTTGACAGAACCAGAGTAAAATTTTACTTTTAACTTCAGAATCTCACAGTTTACTTGTTTTTCAGAGTAAAATTTTACTTTTATACAGAGTAAAATTTTACTTTTAGTTTCAGAGTGTAAAATTTTACTCTTATTCATAGTAAAATTTTACTTTTATACAGAGTAAAATTTTACTTTTAGTTTCAGAGTGTAAAATTTTACTCTTATTCATAGTAAAATTTTACTTTCATACAGAGTAAAATTTTACTTTCATTCAGAGTAAAATTTTACTCTGAAATACATAGTGAAAATGTCTTAATAAGAGAGCTGATAGATATGATGGTAATATAGTAAAAGAAACAAGTTTTAAAATATCAGGGGGTTTTGAAAGTATTTATATAATTCTCGTCCTTTTGAAAGAGAAATTAGATAGTGAGGGGGCTATAACCAAATCCCCCTTAGTAAAAAGCCTTAGCTAGTTAATATTTTATTACAGAAAAATTTAAAATTTCTATTGTCTTTAAAATGTTTTGTTGTGTTTTAATTAGCATCAGAGTCTAATTTCTCAAAATTGTCAATATAATTATGACGTGGGTAGGCCCATAAAGGCCATATATAGCGATCTCGGATTTACCCTTGTTGTACAGTGATCCGGACTTGTGTCCGTGGATGTTGGTAGTTGATTATTATCTTGTTTACATCCTTTTTACTTTGTAGTTGAGTTATGGGATGTGTTGGGCAGGTTTGTTACAGGTTGATTGAGTTTAGAAACCAAAACTAGTTGCCCAGATTTTGACCTGTCCGCTTGAGCGGGGGTTTTGGTGCTCGAGCGGGAATTGCACCCATCCAGTATTTCCTGTGAAGGGTTGGACGCTCGAGCGTGGAGTTGGCCGCTCGAGCAGGGTTGTGTGATTGCCGCTCGAGCGGGTAGTTGGAAGCTCGAGCGGAGACCTGGTTCTGTAAAAGTTCTGGGAGTGTGTATCCGCCGCTCGAGCGGGATTGTTGACGCTCGAGCGGGAGTTTGTGAGTGACGCTCGAGCGGGGAGA